CTCAAGCAGGAGTGTGACAATTTCCACCTTACCCGATTCGCAAGCGACCTGTAGAGCCGTTCCTTGTGGGAAGTTCTCGTTTGTGGTAAGATCATTGACGTCGGCACCTCGGTTGAGAAGCTCTTTGACCACGTCGTAATGGCCCTCCGCAGCAGCGGCCTGGATAGCCCACCCGTTTGGTGCGTCAACATCAGCACCTCTGTCCAGGAGCAATTTGACGATGGCGAGGGTGCCATCATATGCTGCGGCAGTCAAGGCGGTTCCATAACTGAACGTTGTTAGTCTGGTCCTCCACAACGATGTAGTAGGTTAGGTTGCTTACTATTCTCCAGTGGCGTTAGGATTGACTTTGAAGTCATCAATCAGCAACCTGACTGTAGACTCCTTCTCGAGATCAGTAGCCTCATATAGACTCTCATTGAGAATCTCCGGTCTGATGTTCCCGTTGGTATATTTCCAGACAGCCTCCAAGACTTTGTCTTGATGCTCCGCCGTAGTTGCCGCACTAAGGAAGAGATCGTTGCAGTCGAGACCTCTGCGCTGCTCCAGAAGTATCATGACAATGTCCCAGTTCTCCTCCTCTGCCGCCACCTTCAGCGCAGCCTGGAAGCACTCTTGGGGGTGAGAGTAAGTCAGTAACTTGTTGAACACGTCCACCCTGCCAGAAACGGCAGCCTTGATGAAGGCCTTGTCAAACTCTTTGGCCGGAAGCTTGTCAGCGTAGGTTTGCGTGAGATATTCAAACATGGACAGGTCTGCGTGGAGACCAGCCAACGCCAGAGGCGAGTCAATGTTCTCGTCCTCGACGGCTAGCGAAACCTGCTTCTCGACAAGTAGCTTGACGGCATCTGGACTACCGGAAGAAATGGCGGCATTCATGACTGGGCCGACATCACTGGCGATGGCGTTGGCATTTGCGCCCCTCTTGATGAGCTTTTCCATGACTTTGACGTGGCCAGCAAATGCCGCCATGTGTAGCGGAGTCTGCTCGCCAATATCGATACCATCGTCGATACTGGCGCCTCTTTTGAGAAGCTCGTCCACGATGTTTGGTCTGCCTATGTATGCGGCGAAATGAAGCTGCCACGAATGTTAGTAACTAGCCAAAATTTCCGAGCTGGCAGTGGCTCAAGATTGGATAGAATGTAGCCTTACAGGGGTATTGACGAGATTGTCCCTCTTGTTGATCTCGTGCTCATGGCCGTTCTGGATGAGCGCGGAGACAAGCTGCTTGAATCCGACCGCAGCGGCGATATGCAAAGCAGTCAACTCCTTGGCTTCAAAGCCATCGAGCACTTTCGTCATGGACATGTAGACGACGAGCCACCGGTACCTAATCAAAGACTCCGGCTTCTTCCAAAACTCATCCTCGCTGAGATCCTCCGCGATCTCCAGTGTAGCTCTGCTGGCGTGGTGCAGCCAGTGCTTGATGGGGTAGGGTAGCACCTTCTCGGCCAGTATTCTCGCCTCTTCGGCCTCGTCGTCTTGATAGCCGTAGGTGGATTCATCGTCGTCCCAGTCCGTGTCGCTAGCCGAATCGTGTTGCTCAGACTCAGTAGCGGCGCTCTCCTCCCCATCTGCTTCGGATGCTTCACTCTCCTCGTCCTCGTCCTTGGCAGACTGGGTCTCTGCCTCTTCGTTTTCCTCCTGAGCCTCCTCAACAACAGGCTTCACTTCCTCAGGAAAGTTGAACGCTTCCTTGATGTGAGCCAAGCACCGGAGCGCAATGATGCCTTGCTGCCACTTGTTTTCGTCATTCGACATGCCAAGCGTCTTTCTGGACGTCTCCTTTTCCAGGAGATGTTCTTTGACGACCCTGTCCATGAAGCCAATGGTATTTTCAGACTTGCCGCTTCTCGTCACCGTCAACAACGGCCTGCACTTCTTCACCAAATCTTGAAGCTCGGCCTTTCCTGATTCTGTGGCAGGAAAGCCCGCCAAAACAACAAGCTCATCCTCGGTAGGCTCTTCAAACGTCAAAACGAGTGTCCGCAGCAGCTCCTTTATCTTGTCGGTCTCCTTTTCGTTAGATTGAAAGATTTGCGCCCACGCAGCGTCCAAGAGAGCCTTGAGCTCCTGAGGCATACCCTCAAGCATGTGTCTAATCTTGAGATCACTTTCTGCTTTAGGGAGCTCCGCAAGCTGCATGCAGGAAAGCTTGATCCATTGACTGTTGGATGCCCTCTTACCAATTAGACTGCTCGCATAGTATGTGAGCGCCTTGTTGTAATTCTTGTCCTCGCCGAGTTTTTGCACCTTCTCCTGTGCCGCCTTGCGCAGCTCCCGCTGAACCTGGTCGCAGTACTTGTCATCCTCGAGATCGATGAGTTGGATTCCGTCCACCTTCAACGAGTCTTCCACGTGATGGACTTCCCGGCTTGTGAGAAACCATCTGGTAGGCACTCTCTTGTCGTCCTCTGTCTTGAGTTCTTGCAGCTCGGCGTTGAGGAACCGCATCAACTTGACAGTTGACTCGGCATCTTCAGGCAGAACGTGCAAGTTGTTGATGACGAAGTAGACTCTGCGACCGATAAACTCGTCTGTGAGAATATCCTGAAGAGTCTGCCACAGGTTCTCCACTGTGAGATTCGCCGAAGTTTTTGATGAATCTTCGCCCTTCTTCTTCACAAAGTGCTTCGCGTACACAGACAAGGTGGCTTGCTGGCCGATGAGCTGCCGCACCAGCGACTTCAGCAAGTCCTCAGCAGTCAAAAAGTCCGAAGACGGGTCGCAGAAGAAGTACGCAACGAGGGCGGCTCCTCGCCCGTGGTTCACCTTTTCGTCGGCTGAGATGATGTTGTCGATGTCCTGGAGGGCCGCCATAGTCGCTCGCGTCTTTCCTCTTCCCTCTGGACCGCGGACGTACAGTGCCTGTCCTCTGTGCTTTTGTGTCGCGCTCCCCGCTTCGTGGTCCTCTTTCAACCACTCCAAGTATGCCTCCGCCTTGGGAATCCAGATCGATGGTGGGAACTGAGGCGCAAGCATTTTGCGCTTCTTCGAGACTTGACCGCCGTTCAGCAACTCCATGACATTGTTGACAACCTCTGGCTCGATTCCACGGGTTGAGTTGAGTCTGTTTTTGGCGACCAGGTTGGCGCCATGAATGAGTCTCTTAAGCGGCTCTCTGACGAGTTGGTACCGGGGGTCCTTGAAGTCGCTAAACTTTACAAGATCTCGATGGTTGGCGGCAAGACCCATTTCCTGGATTCCAGGTAATGTCGCCGACTCTCTGGACACAAAGTCTTGCAGCTTCTTGGGAACGACCGTCTTTGCGATTTTCGACATGGTTGGGCCTAGCTTTGCTTGAGTAAAGTCCGTTGGGTGATTCTCGTAGAAGCAAAAGAGCTGGACGTGCGGGCTCATTTTGGCAGCTAACCGCAGCAAGTCGCCTCGGAGCTCGTTCAAGCTCTCGTCTCCGGGCTTCATCATATCTACCAACGCCGACGACTTGGTGTACCCAAGTTGTTCGCCGATACTACCCAGCATGGAGGCGATGGCGGCAACTTGAGCACCGCCGAACGGCGTTCCAAAGAAGGCGCATCCAGCGATGCACTCAAACAGCCTTGGGAAGATTTCCCTGTATGTTTCTGCTGCAAGTGTGATAGCCTTGACATTCCGTAAGCCTCGACTCACTTCATCAATTCAATTGTAGCCGGGTTCTTACCTTGGCAATAACCAGACCTCCCATGCTGTGTCCGATAAAGACAATGGGGCGATCTCTTATTTTCTAAATCTCAAATTAGATCAAGCTCGCGATTCAGACTTCAGCACGATCAACCTACTTCACGATTCGCTTGCAGCCCTTCCAACATTGATTTGGCAATGTCTCTCAAGAAAGTCTTGACTTTGAGATCCCCAACCCATGCTGATTCATACTGGTACAAAAGTATGCGAGCCTTGGGGAAGTCCCTCGCCAGACCATCCTTTTTGCTGGTAGATTCAGACGAGTTTTTCGTGACACCCTCATAGATTCCGGTTGCCCAGTTGAAACCGGCTTCCGACTTCCAGCTGTCCTCCGGATGGGCACCTAATCCAGGCACAAAGACAACACTATCGGTTGTATTAGACTCTTGAGATACCACCACAACTCATAACTTGAGAAGATCGAGACATACTCAACATCAATGGCAGACCCAGTCTCCTTCTGAGGATTGTACAGTTCCCTGAAGCCCTGCTGAACCGTCTGATACGTCGTCTTGGGCTTCGGAGCCCCAGGGGCGCCGTGAGGCACCCTTCTCGTTCCCGTGCGGCGGATAGACATGATGGTGACTACTCGCTGCGAAGAAACATACACAACGAAACGAACCTGACAAGACGACAAATGCAACCGCGACTTCCGAGAAACTGGGGATCAACAAGCTTTGAATACGAACCGACCACGGAGCTAGGCACCGGCGTAATAAGCATAGCCTGACAGGGCTGCCACTTGGGGGTCCAAAATGCTAATAAGCCCCCTTCCCTGCAACTGGGCGGCCCGAAACGACCTTAGCGGTGTCAGCCACCCCCATGCATTGTAATCCTGCGATGCCAACGATCGTCCGACTGCGCCAATAGTGTCTTTCAGCTGAACCAAAGCCACCTCTAATTTTGTAGCGCTGTCCCACAAGTAAGCAACTCGTCTCACGCTGCAGTAGCGAGTTCGGGTTCGTCTGTATTCGGAATCTCAACACGGTTTGCTTGCTGCAGGCGGGAAGGCTCTAGGCAATCAATTCATCTTAAAATGACAGGGGACCGCCACTGTTGGAACCCTTGGTATATCGTTGCCTACTCTTTTTACCAGCCAAATCGGGCTTGTTGGAAAGGTTTTTAATCACGTCGTTGGCTATTTTCGGTCGGGCTTTTACCACCGTTGGAGTCGTTTCCATTGCGGGCGTTTCTGCAAGCAAGAACGGTCTGTCACCAACATCCCGCTTCCCGATAGCGACGATCTGATAGACTGCGCCTCGGAGGACCGTGATATCTCTCGCCAAGATCGGAGAAGAGCGTCGGGACCGAAAGTTATGGGACCAGACAACGCCGAAGACCAGCACAAAGCAAGATTCGCCGTCCACATGTCAAGCTTCTCGAGTCGCACCATGGACAAGTCGTCTGTGCCCTTTACTGTCCGGGTTCTCGATGACGCTGTCAATCCCGCAGTGACAGTGCAGGAGCCAAGAGACTGGAGCGATCTGCTACCGGCAACGAGCCGAACCAAGCACGATCACATCACTGTGCCGCAAGCCGACGACATTGAGTTTCTGGAACAAGAGCTGCTTGTCCGACGACTCAACGATGTCCAGGATCTTCTCTGGATCTGCGGCCGTCCAATGCCGCCTCGGCCTCTGCATTACCAGACGATATCGCGCGAGATCCACATCACAGAGAACCCCGAACTGCATCTCGTCTGGGCCAAGAACCGAATTTTCGTCAAGCCGATACCACGGTGGCTGCTGAGCCCAGACTTCTGGGCCGCCAACTTAGTCGAAGCCTCGGGCGATCAGTCTGATCCACGGAAGCAGCAGCTTGTCTCCTGCGCGCTCGGTTTCCTCTTCACTTACACAGCCCTCATCGCGTATGAGAGCGACTTCCGCATAGCCGTCGAAAGAGGCCTGCTCCCGGATCGGATGAACTGGTACCAGTGGAAGGCAATATCGGCCCAGATCGCGCAGAACCATTGTTATGCGTCCGTCAACCCGCGGTACTGGTACGGCGAGCTTCGTCTCAGTCGACTGAACAAGATTTACCGCGTCCGCCTGGGATACTTGCTCCGGGGGTATTCCAAGGTAGTCTCTCACGCCGTGTACGAAGACTTGATCCGGGACAACTTTGCAACGCTGGCGGCGATGCTCGGTTATGTTGTCATCGTCTTGACAGCGATGCAGGTCGGCTTAGCCACGGACAGACTCGTTGGTGACAGCGCGTTCCAAAGTGTGAGCTATGGCTTTACAGTCTTTTCGATTCTTGCGCCACTCATCGCCGGCGTATGCATAATTGGAATCGTAGTGGTCATGTTTGTGAGCAGCTGGGGGGTAACGAAAGTGTACGAGAAGAAGAGATTCCAAGAGATGGGTGTCGAGCCATTTTGGAGATTTCAGAAGACAGCCAATCAGTACACGAAGGTAGAATCGAAGCAGGAGGCTAGAGAGTAAGATGGCAGTCAAATAGATACCCCATAGATGAATATAAACCATTGTAAAAGAACGTGTGAAGTTGAAAATGCCCTGGACCTCAAACGAAGCAAGCTGGGCTGGTTTTGGAACAGATTAAGGGTTCCCAGCTAGACGGGTAGCCAAGGACGGCCCTAGCTTCCTGGCCAGGGCGTAGATCCCGCCTTCATAGAGGCCAGCGGCCGCTACAACACCCGATCTGCTAGCCCGTCCTACGACCAATCGGCTGTCCCACAGCGGCCGAACGTCACCCAAGGCAGTGGAAGGTGCCTTTTGGTGCCCGTGCCTGTAGAAGTGACTTTCCGTGAGAGCTTCAACACAACCTCAAATCGCCATCCACTCACTCGGACGTCTCTTCATAAACAATCAAACCTCGACCACAAAAGACCGCGTCTCTCATTCGCGCTCAGCACAACGGTGCGCCGCAACCACATCATGGCCGCAAAACCAGCCACGCCCCTCGAGCGCCACTGTCTCGTAACAGTAGGCGCAACAGCCCGCTTCACCCAGCTCCTTACTGAAGTCCTCTCCGCCGCCTTCCTGGACCATGTCACCTCGAATCGCTACACACACCTCACGCTCCAATGTGGCAAGGACTACGCAGAATTCTCCCGCCAGATGCTACCTCCGCTTCTGGATCAATACCCGGGAATCGAAATCACCGCCTTTGACTTTGTCGATGACCTGACCACCGAGATGGTCAAATGTAGAGCGCAGGCAGGTGTGCGGGAGGCTGGTGTGGTCATCTGTCATGCAGGTAAGCTAGGGATCATCCTTCGCGTTGTGACTCGATGCTCTCAAGTATATGTATCCGCCTATACAAAAACATATGTGTGTGCATGTGTAAGCTGACTCGAGATATTTCCAGGCACGGGAACCATCCTCGACGGAATGCGCGTCAGCGTCCCCCTCGTAGTGGTCCCCAACCCAACCCTAAAGGACAACCACCAGGTCGAGCTCGCCGAAGAGATCCAGCGCCAGGGTTACGGGATCTGGGGCCGCCTCGGCGACATCGCGTGGGCCCTGGAGCAGCTGGCCCTGCAGCTCGATAAGACTGAGCAGCAGTACCGGCCTCATCCTGTCGCGACAACGGGAGCGGCTCCGGTGAACGTGGATGTCTGGCAGGTCAGCGGCGCGCTTATGAATCGCTACGCTGATGAACCTGGTCATGCTGCTGCTGCGCCGGAGACAACTAAAGCGAGTGGCGGCGGCGGCGGCGGTGCTGGAAAGGAGGTTCAGCGGGAGGAGGTGGCGCAGATGACGATGGGCTAGGAGTCTTATCAAAACTGGAAGCCTTTCAAATTCCCAGAGGAATCATGGTTGGAGAAGATTGAGGAGAGTACTATGACGAATACTCTATGAGGTTGTAGGAGAGAGGACGGTCGAAGTGGGGTGCATAGCATGAACACTGTAGCAATAAGCTTCCCCCTTAGACAAGAGATACCCAAAGTCGAACGACGTTCATCGTCGAGATAACATCATGTCGCTTTTCATTTATTCATCCATCACCTATTGAGAACATCTACAAAACTGTCGGCCAAGACCAGCTATTGCAGCCCAGCTACGGTCCAAACCTTGATCGCGGCATCGCCTCCGGCACTCGCAATCTTGCTGCCACCCTCAACCCACGCAACACCGTTGACACCATCCTTGTGAGCGTTGAGAGCCTTGACTCGGCTACCAGGCTTGGCCAGACTCCACACGCAAACATTGGTATCCAGAGCTCCAGAGACGGCGTGCGTTGCCGCATCGTTCCAGCTGATGCACGTAACCCTTGCCGTGTGCGCAGACCAACGGTCCGTCGCAACTTCCCAGTCGGCAGTCTTGTAGGCGACGATCTTGCCGATCTGGTTACCTGCGGCGAGGAACTGACCATCCTTGGAGAATGACAGGCAAGAAATAAGAGCCGTCGACTTGTCAACCGACTTTATCTCGGAGAGCTTGCCTGACCCGTCCGCAGTGTAGATCTTGACAGAGTTGCCCGATCCCACAGCCACCGTCGAACCGAAGGCAGCCACAGCGCCAGGAGTGAATCCAAGGCGGTTCTCGGAGAGAAGCTGACCCTTTTGGTAGACATCGACACCCTCAATGGTGGCCACGTACACCTTTCCATCCGTGGCCGCTACACCCTTGGGCTGCGCAGCAAGCTTGAGGGCCTCGCCCGCGAACGTGTTGGCTGACTCGTCTACTATCCTCAGGTGGTCGTCCCATCCAACACTGTACGTCTGTCCCGCCTCGGCGCTGAACTGAGTGACTTGATTTGTGTGCGCTTGTCCGTCAACCACTGAGCCAGTACCAGTCGCAACATCCCACTGGCAAACTCGCCCGTCGAAGCTGCCGCTCCAGAGCGTCTGCCCCTTGCCATCAGACGACGAGCCCAATGCCGTGATGCTCTTGTTGTGGCCCTGAACAATCTTGCTAGGCTTATCGCTGCCCTCGTTGAGGTAGATCAAGTCGCCGTTCAAGTTCAAGCTTATAATCAGGCCGTCGGTTCTGCCATGGGGGAAGACAACGCCGACTTGCTGGTCGCCGATGCTGACGCCGTCTCCAAACTTCCACGTCTGCGTAGCCTTGCCTGACTCCACATCCCAGAGCTTGACAGACTGGTCGGCGCTTGCTGTGACAAACTTGGTGCCATCCTGAGACCATGAAACGGCAAAGATGCTGCCAGTGTGTTCTCCCTCGCCGATCGACTTTGTAGGCTCGCCCGTCTTTCCGTCGTAGAGCTGAATGCGCCTGTCGGCACCGACCGTTACGAGCTGGCTGCCATCGGGCGAGAATGCAGTTCCAAAGACGAAACCCTTGTGGGCGTTGGCGTTCTTCGAGTTGAACTTGAAAGGCGCACCGTGCAGGAAGCACAGGGAGCTGTCATCAGAGACGGTTGCTGCCCGCAGTGGGCGCTGTTGCCGCACCGCGACTGAGTTGACGACCTTGGAGTGGCCGCTAATCTCTCCGACAGAGTTGCCGCTGTCGGCCGTGATGCAGTGGCCGAAGCGCTCTTTGCCGTCACCCACGGCGATGATGCGCTGGGAGTCGCCGTCCCAGCCAATATCGTTAATGCGCCCCGAGATGATGTGGTATTCGCCTGGTAATGTAGTCAGTACCGACCGAAAGACAGCTGACTGTGTTGTGCAGGTATTATGCCGTACCCTTTGTGTTCTCGGCCTCGACGGCGTCCCAGACTCTCACGGATCCAGACACATCTCCACTGGCGACGTAGAAGCCGCTGGGAGAGAACCGGGCGACGCTCGTCGCCGCTGTGTGGCCGGTATATTGCTTGCAGACGGAAGGGTTATCGATGGATCGGAGGAAGATGGATTTGCCGGCCTGTGAGAATGCATTGTTAGCTAAGGCATTGTTCGTCGAGAGGTGCAGTTGGGACTAACAGCGTAAGCAATACGCTCTCCTTTGTTGTCTGTGGAGAGCTGTGTCGGCTGGCCACGCTGAGTAGCGGGCGAAGCAGCCAAGATCTTTTCGATGGTGACAGACATGATGTGTGAACTCCAAATACGCTGGTATGCAACGCGAATAGAATTCCCTAAAGCTCCGAGCAAAGATGATGAAACGATCAAGAGTCTTGGGGAGCGTGAGTTGCGTCGGGGTTCAGCTTTCTAGCCAGGCACCACAATGGCGGTCGACAGTGTCGAGTGGGAACCTGGACCTGGAGCTGGGATGTCGATCCGGGATGGAGGGGCAGTGCTAGTGCTATTGTTGCTACTGCGGGGCAGGAATGACGTTCCAGGTTCATCTTACGCCAGCCAACCACTGACAGTCTGACGCGGCTATTGTCTGGCGATGTTGTTTATATTCTGGTATCTACAATTATTGCGATTGCCTGCCTAAAACTATAATTATTTAAGAGATATTTTGAGAGTGAATCAACAGGCATCAACTTGGGTGTGAGCTGATGTGCATAATTGTTCACCTGAATGTATCTTACATGATACATACACGTCGTGTGCAGCACGTTTGTCATCTGGGCATCTGTATCAAAACCCAGCAGGTCATCTGCACAGTTTGCTCCATACACATTAAGTCGCTTCATAACTCAAATATTTGCTGAACGGCGAGAAAAGAGTCCAGGCTGAAATGGGCGGGGGCTCACTTGGCGTGGATCGTAAACCGATGTGGTGCATTCAGCAACCCCACCTTCGACAAAGGGTACATAGTGAGCCAAATCACCTCGAAAACTCAACAAAAGTCGTCGCTTTCCTAGCTCAATTTGGTCAGAGCGTCCGACTTTTAATCGGAAGGCTGTGGGTTCGAGTCCCACGGATCGCGTCTCATCTTTTTGTGTTTTTTCTGTCATTTGCCAGTTGCTTACACTAAACTGCCAAGAATATTTTTGCTATTGCATTCTGATTACATGATAGACTGGTTTGTATTTCTGTATTCTATTAATACGTTGCATCGCACATCAAAGACTACATCCCAATAATGCTGAGTGGTCTCAAGTAAAAGCAACCACAAAATGATGAACTCTTGACAAGACTATCATACCAGCCCGACTAACAATGCTTGCAACAACGTTCCATACATTCACTTTGTTCACAAGACAATGTTGCCACTATAGAAATGATTCCTCAATCTCATACAACTTGTGATAGCAGGCCGATGTAGTATTTGTCGCAGGTCTTAAATCCTCATCAGCTACGAAACATTCACACGTATAACAATGATAGACTGCTGATGATAACCCGTAAGAAATCCATCAGTCACTCAGCCAACTATGGTGCTCATTTAGCTATCGGTGCCGTCTAAATAAACCGCATCTCGACCCCATTAGAGAAGACGCCTATTCTAAGGAAGTGCCTTGACTACTTCGCCCCAATCGACACCCGCACCAAAATGTTTGGAACCCAAGACAGAGAGCACCTACTGTAATCGAAACTTGCCTGCCGCTTCTTCCACGGTCACCAGTCTCGCCGTCACAGCAACAGACCTTGGATTGCGACAACCTCTATTAGGGCTCACTGTCCCCTATCTTCACCCTATCGGAGAAGCTGTAATAAACTAGATGCGCCTGCTAACCGCCGTACGAGGAGCTCTCCCCGCCGGCGAGGTCAATGAATACAATTTTCCCACCTAGTATTCAAGGGACTTCCGGCTCTTGTTGATGTCTGGCAGCGATGAGCGGTAGTCGTTGCCTTCGATGCCGGCATGGGCGCCATGGGGATATAAAGATTGTCACGGGGGACTGAAATATGGTATTGTGCTACAGAACTATCTATTTGTGATACACTAAGACTAGCGATTCCATGGCCCTTATAATCTTCAGGATTATCGGGGGACTCAACGCGAATAACTCGGCCGTAGGGAAGCGAGTAACATCGACCGAGTAGCTTTCCATTTGAACAAGGCTCAATTGTGTCCTAGAACCAAAGGTCATGGACCTGAAGGGACGAGTATGTAGTGGTGGAAAGTAGCACGGGGCTAAGTCAGCTGACATGGTACGGTATTATCCTATGTTTCCTTCATACACCGCATCATCAAAAGAGGCCATCTTTTGAATGCATTTTATTCTCGTATTGTCCGAACTAATGATGCCTAACACTAGACGGCATAGTCCCCTCTATCGCGAAAGTCATACAAAGAGGTTCCTTACCAGATAACCGACCACAGGTTATGCCAGACCAAACGCCTCCATCTATCGTAGTCACTGCCATGAAAAGCCATTATCCCCAACCTTAAGACCAATTTTAATCTTGCTCATGTAGCGTCACTCGCCCGCGTCTATTTCTTCTTGCCCTTGGTTTTGCCCTTGGCATTGGTGGCAGACTTGTTCGAGGCGACACTCGATGCCCTCGATGGCGCGGCGGATGTGTTCTTGCTTGCGACCTCCGATTTGACGTTGTCCAGAGCCTTGTTCTATATGTTTGGTTAGCAAAGTTCATTCATCCAACCACTCTAGCACTCACCTTGACGCCGTTCTTGGTCTTCTTCTTCGAAGGGGCCATACCGAGGATGCTATCCTCGTCGTTCTCCTCGTCCTCGGCCTCTCTCTTGAGCTTGCCGTTGACGCCGTTGGCACCCTTGGTTGGGTGAACATCCTCAAACTCCTTGACAATGGTGGTGAGGAGAGTGGTGCAGCGACGGCTCAACTCAACGGGCGTCCTGCTAAGGAAGAACCAGTCAAACCGGAACAGAGGGCTCTCCGCAATGTCGTCGCGCATCTTCTCGTACAGTCCAGCAGAGTCAATGCCGTACTTATCGAGCAGGACTAGCAAAAACCGATCTTCCTCCTCCGTGTACACCTTCTTGTTGGTAGTAGA